TATCAAGTGGCTGGGGGGGAAAAACAAACAGCTGAAGGGTTTTTTTGCAGTTCAACTCTTCAGAATTTCAAACCCATTTAAATGCCACCCATTTAGCAGCCTGGGCTTGCATTCCAGTTCCTCTGGCTTTATGGTTTTTTTTTTTTTTTTTTTTCTGAACTTCTGCTTGCTAAATGTTATTTTAAATAGCTGGTGAGGTTGACAAAGCCTCAAACTCCCTGGGGTTTCTCACGAGAACAAAAGCTGCCTTGTGGATATCTTTAGAACTAATTATAAGAGTGAGGAGAAGTCAGGCCTCTAATATGAAACTGAGATGGGTCACAAAAGATATTTGAACAGACAAACTAAAGTCAAACAGGAAAGTGAGTCAGACACCTGCATGGCCTTTTTTACAGTCCAAGAACTGACTTGGTGCAGTCATTAAAATAAATTTCTGTACCTATATTTGCATTTAATTGTATGCATGAAGGAGCTTTATCTCAGAACAGGGATTTTAAGCCCATAACGGTTCAATGGGGCCTTCTAAGTGCACAGTTCCACCAATTGAAGTCTCAACCAATAATCAAAACTGCAAAAATGAAATGCTCCATTTAGCAATAGATCTGCCAAAACAGAACAGGTGATTCTGATGGAGTCTCAGCAGTTTTTAGTGCAGCAGAGACCACACAACATCACCAAGTTTGCAGCTTGGCAGCCTGCAGTTCCAGCAGCATCTTTTCCCGTGAAACAGCCCCGCTTGAAATTCAGTTTCTACCCTGAATTTGCCAAACTTCAGCGAGCAGAGCTGAAATCCCTGATGATGCTGTCCTGGAGAGCTCTCAGAGCTGAAATCCCTGATGTTGCTGTCCTGGAGAGCTCTCAGAGGGCTCTGCACAGGCAGCAGGGGCTGATCCCGGGGAGGCTGAGCACGGACCAGCCTCTGCTGTCACATGCTGTTAAGATCCAGGGCTCATTAAGAACCGAGGCTGGAATTTCCGTGACTCGATGAGTTTAGATTCCCTGAAAAGAGGGAGGATTATCCCAGCACTCTCCATCTGGGCCGAGTGTAACACAGCCCTGTGTTCAGCTGGACACTTATCAAGGAAAATTTCCTCTAAGATGTGAGCAGGTAAAGCAGGAGGTTCCAGACAGCACGACCTGACAGGATTGTGTGTGTGTGCCAGCAAACACAGCCTGGAGTCACCTCCAGCCTCCCCGAGCCTGGGGTGTGCTGCAGGGACCTCACCCTGACCCAGACTAAGCAAAGGCTCTCCAGGCACCAGCCCCTAAACAAAGCCCCGCGTTCTGATTATTTACACATTTCTTGTGTGCTGAACCAGCCAGAGACGGAGAGCGTGGCTGGGAGGCTGCAGGGAGATGTGGGAGGGCAGCCCAGGCTCCACAAAACTCACCCAAAGCCAAAGCTCAAACCCCTCAAAAGTTTCCTCAGATTTTTTTTTTTTGTTTCAATTCCTCCATCACTTTGAGAAAACCTCTTTTCTTTATCACAGCCAGCATCAGATCCACTCAAATCCAGCAGGTCAGATCTCTAAACTCAGCCAGTGTCTGTAGTTTTTATTTGCACTCAGATGTTGCCCATGAAACATGAAAAATCTCAGTCAGCTCGAGTTTCCTCCCCAGTTTGGTTCCCTTTTCCCCATGGCAAGCTGGGTCCATCCCATCAGGGCTGTGCAGGGGCTGAACAGATCCCAGCTTTTATTCCGAGCACTCAGTCCTTAAAATCCTTCAGAAGCCAGACTTGGAGTTAAACACAACAATATCAGCACAACCTGGAACATTTTCCTTTCCCACAAACCAAGAAGAGCAGGAGCAAACCTTGATTTTGCAGTTTTTAAAACTGATTTTAAATCTTTTCCAATTCTCACCTTTCCTTTCTGGAGATTCCCAATCCTACAGGGCAGGGGCTGTTCCCAAAATTGCCCTCGTTGGTGGCATTGGGCACAAGATTTGATGTTAAGCATTGGCAAAGGCAGAACTGGACCCATTTTCCTCAGGAATTAAGGAAATTATACCAAGGAATGGAATATCCAGCTGCTGGAAAACAGACTCAAAGTGCTCGACTTCTGATCAGAAATATATTTCTGTCTATTGAGCCTATTTAGAAGGTTCAATGGTGAGTGAAATTAGATTTATTTCTTCCAGAATATCAATACATGCTTCTCCTCACCTGCCTAAAAATCAGCAATAAATTCCCCATGTTACTATGTGATTCCACTTATGGGTTTTGGATTTTTTTTTTCCACCTCCACCTGATACTAGATTATTTCAGAGTGAAACCACCACTGAATTAATTCTAATTTGTCACCCTCTTGCTGTGTCTTTTCCCTCAAACCTGCTCCTGTTAATAACTGGAAACAAAATAACAGGTAAAGTGTCTTAAATACCAGCCTAAGTGATATATTTTAAATAACTGGAAACAAACTAACAGCTAAGTGAATATTTTAAATAACTGGAAACAAGCTAACAGGCTAAGTGAGTATCTTAAATAACTAGAAAGAAGATAATTTGTTTAAGGCTAAGGAATATTTTTAATAACTGCTAACTAGCTATCAGGCAAAGTGAGTATCTTAAAGAACTGTAAACAAGCCAATAGCCAAAGTGATGTAGTTTAAATAACTGGAAACAAGATAAAAATGCTAAGGAACATTTAAAATAACTGGAAACAAGATAAAATGCTGAAGAACATTTAAAATAACTGGAAACAAACTAACAGCTCAAGTGAGTATCTTAAGTAACTAGAGGTAAGAGAGCAAACTAAGGAATATTTTTAATAACTAGTTAGTTAATAGAAAAAGTGAATATTTTAAATAACTAGAAACAAGCTAACAGCTTAAGTAAATATTTTTAATAACTGGAAATGAGTTAATAGGCAAAGTGAATATTTTAAATAACTGGAAACCAGCTGCCATTCCAAGTGGACATCCCAAATGAAAAGCACAGGTACCCAGCCCTGACCGTGTCTGTTTTTCTGCAGCACATCCTCACCACATGCAGGCACCCAGTGCAGGGCACAGCTCCAATGTGTGACTCCTGCACTGACAATTTCCATCCCTGCCTGCTCCTCTTGCTGGATTTGGGGTGGCAGGAATCCCTCATTTCCCTGGATCCAGCCTGGATTTACCCTCCTGTGCTCCTCCAGCCCAGCCAGCTCAGCAGAAAGCAGCAACAGCTTCATCACACTGGAAATTGTTTGTTGGTTTTGCTTAGTAGAGAAGGTATAAAAAAAAAAAAATAAAATTAAAACAATCAAATAGCTCCACACTGCAGATTAGAGCAGCCCAGACTGCCCCAGCCTCCATCTGGTTCTTGTTAACATCCAGAAACAACCCCAAAGTGTCTGCCAGGCAATATTTGACATTTATACACAGCAAACCACATGAGAGGTGCCCAACTGCAGGCTCCTGATTGGTCCAGGGGGGTTTTTGGGTGGTTGTAGGCACCAGCACGGCTGGGACAGGCAGGACAGGGTGTCCTGAGCAGGGGTTGGGTCGTGGTGAGTCCAATTCCCCTGCTCAGAGCTGCTCCTGCAGCATCCAAACCACTCTGGGGGATGTGCAAGGGAGGGGATGTGGCCATGAAATGCTCAGAAATGTTTTATTCAGGCTGTTTATCCTCAAAAGAGCGTTTTCCTTTTAGATTAAATTATCTGGACTCTGTTTATTCTAAACACAGGAGACAGGACTCAAGCATTTCCTCTTTTAGGAAGTATGGTTGAGTGTATTTCCTACAAAATTTATAAAGAATTCAGGCAAGGGCTTGTGTGGCTCCTTAAGATTTCAAACCCTTCTTCCCTAAATGCTGAAAGAGCTGCCTCTGCCAGGGCACAGCTCCATCCCAGTGACACGAAATACAAATGCAAGCAGACAGCAGCTATAAGCTCTTTGGAAAGGGCAGCCTGATAAAAACCATAATCAAATTATTTACCAATACTCCCCATTTTGTCTCAAGACCATAAATTCCATTATATAATGAGACATTTCCTTTTGTTTGTTCGGTTTTTTTTTTGTTGTTTTTTTTACAGCTGGGGAAGCCGTGGCTCCAAAGGGATTTGTTAAATGCTCCTCTTGGGACTGGAAGTGAGATGAGTTTATCGACAACAGAATTGAATTCTAACAGTGAAAATTTTCATTCCAGCAGATGACAGAGTCACCACTGGAACTGGAAGAAAAAACACAGATTTCTGTCTTCCCATCTCATCTCCTTATAAAGAATTCTGAGGTTTTTGCTACAAAGATAGCACATTTTAAATGCCATTTTCCATGCTTTAGGCACCACTGTTCCTGCAGGAAGTTTCTACCTCCACCTGAAGCTTGAGGGAAATGTTCTGCTCAGTTTTTTACCTGAACCCCAGATCCTGGTCAGAGCTTCTCTGCCCACCAGGAGAGCCCATCTGAGCACAGATCCTGATGCTCCAGGGTGTTCCATCCCTCCCAGGACATTTTCCCTGCCATGTCCCCGGGGTGTCCATCTATTATGCACAGCTCCTGGCTCAGGGAGGACAGGAGGAGATGAGCAGTGCCTGCTGCTCCGAGTGGCTGCAGGAATAACATTTATCTGCTCCATGCAGGCTCTTCAGGCACTCTCACCATCCTCACCTGCTCACTGAGTGCTGTTAGAATGCCAGGCTGGCACCAGGGGCTGCCCATCCTGCTGCTCCACCAGCTCCCTCCACCAGGGGAATTCTTCCCGGTTTATTTTTAATTCTGCCTCATAATCAGGCCCTAATTTTATGCATATTGGCTCAGGATATTTTTTTCCCCTTTCTTCTACATTGTCAGTCTGCTTGTCACATCCTTGCTGAAGGGGATTCCTCACTCGAAGTCCTTCTCTTGCTAGGGTAGGATGGCCTCTTTTGCTTGAGTATTATAGGCTCTGACAGTGCTGACACAGAAAAATAAAACCCCAGAATGATTCCAAACCATGAGCAGGGCTGTTTCCTCCAGAGCAGGAATCCAGAGCTCCTCCTGCCCTTTCCTCCCAGAGCCCAGAGCCAGCTAAACCCAGAGCCCTGACAGCCTCTCCCTCACTTGCTGATAAGATTATCAGTTTTGGTAACAAGGAGACCACACACCGTGTCCCCTCCATGAACTAAAGCTGGCAGTGTCACAGCAGAAGTTACAACAAAGCTGGGACATTAAATCAGCAAGGGGAGAAAAGAACTGGGTATCCTCAAAGGCAAGAGCATCACAAACCTCCTAAATCCAGGACAATTAACTCTCACTGCCAGGCTCATCCTACTTCCAGGTAAAAGTAGAACATTTTCTAAGAGAGAGTCTTGAGTGAGCTCTGTTCCAGTGTCCACACAGGTATTTTAGAAAAGCAGAATTTATTTGCTTTTTAGTCTTTGGAGTTTTCTCCCCCCTTCCATTCTGCTTTTACAAGATGGTCATAAAAAATGAAGCAGCATTTAAATCAGCAGCAAGGGTGGAAGAGCAGTGCTAACTCCTGCCTGAATCGGCTCCCTCCTTGCAGAAACTGGAAATTAATTTGCCTTTCATGGGTTGAAGTTGTTCCTGAGCTCGACTTGCTAAACCAGGAGCTTTCAGTGTGGAGAAAATACAGAGACACTGCAAGAATTACAGAATCCCAGACCCCATCAGAGGCCTCTAAAAGCCCCAAACCCCAAGAGAAGATGAGCACACAGAGTTAAAAGAGCTCCAGCACACTCCCAGCCTGTCTCATCAGCACCAAAGCTGCCAGGAGCTATTGGAGCTGCTGGTTTTTTTTCTGGGCAGGCTGGGTTTTCCAAGCTGCAGAAAAGGAAATATTGAGAGGACAACCCCGAGGCCAGGAACTGGAAGGAAAAGCTCCAGCCAGCAGCAAAGGGATGCTGCACACATGGGTTTGCATCAGAGGGTGGGGGAGAGGCTCTGAGCCTGCTCTGGGAGTGGGGAAGGCAGGCAGGAGGGAACTGGAAGGGGAAAGGTTCCTGCAGATGTCATGTGCCATTGCAAAGTGATAAAAAGGATTTGCATTCTCCTCGGGGAAGGCAAATTTTTATTGGTCAAAATAAGGGGCATCCTTCTGCCCAGCACAGCCACCATTAGGTGATGGTAGAAAAGAGTATGAAAGCACGGTAGGAAATCACTCATAGCAAATAATTCATTTTAATATTCACCGAGGTGGGATAGAACATGTCCTGCACCATCATTATAACCCCAAAAACTGAGCAGGTTGTGCTTTATCAGAGCTTTGGTGAACAAAGAGCAATCTCCAGCAGTGCTCAAAAAAACACTAACAAGGCAGGAAAATGTCAATATTGCCTAACTGGCTAGTTAAAATCATTCTACATGCATGAATAATCAGCTTTTGTTATCAGCTTTGTTTTATCCCCCTGCTGTCAGGAGGAAGGGGAGAAAGTAAAGAATTCATTTAAGCTAGATACCTTCAGTTCCCAGCTTTTCTGCAGGAATTTCTGCTCTGGAATGACACAGGGAGATGCTAACCTGGCTTGTTTGGACAGCAGACAAAACCAGGTTTAAGCCTGGTTAAAATTCAGGATTTCCATGCAAGGAAAGGAGGCTGTGGGGTTTTAAGGAACAGTACAAAGAGACAAAGAAACAATCCCTGCCTCGGAGCACTTAAAATCCAGAAAAATATCAATGTATCCAGAAAAATATCCATGTATTCACAAAAATATCACCCTAAATTCTTCTGGCTGTTGCAAAAAAGCCAAATTTCCTCCATTCACATTCTGGTTTTTGGCTTCTCCTGTGGAGGGTATGGAGAGGGGAGGATGCCTGTGACAACCCCGCAGCCTCCACCTCATTTGGAGCCTTTTCCTAATGGGAATGCATTCCTTGCTGCCCCACAATGGGAGCAGCACGCCCAGGGCGGTGCTCAATACGAAAAAAAAAAAAAAAAGCGAGCTCAAGTCATTAGAGGAAGGAGCCTTGTGTAATGCACATCGTTATCTGCAGAGCAGAGCAGCCCAGGAGTTTCCAGCCTCCCTCCTAGCAGGTCACACAGGGCCTGAATGAAGTGACAGCTGCAGAATTGTGATTTTTGTTGACTCCAGGGCTAGCCTGGGGCTAAGAGGAAGGAGCTGACAAAGCCAGAAAAGCCGGGATGCATTTGGCACAGCACGGGAAGCCTCTTCCCCCATTAAACCAGCGGCTGCCAGGTGGAAGAGCCTGGCTGGGCTGTCCAGCCCCATTTCTGCAGCGATTTCAGAGCACTCTGCAGCTCGGGAGGGAAGGGCTGGCTCGGGCTGAGTGCTCTCCCTCTGCAGAAGCAGCACAAAGCTGTCAATCCCAGCTTTTTCAGTTTTCCAGTGCGCCCCCAAAACTTGGGATGATTAAGGGACACTTCCTTTGGTGTGACCCAGCTGGGGTGTCCCCACAGTCACAAATTCCAGAGTGTTAATTCTTTATAACATCGGAAATGGAGACACTCAAAACGAGCGGGCACTTAAAAACGAAGCCTGAATCACTAAATGTTGAATCACTGGCAAAATCCAGGCTGCAACCTCAACATCCTGAATGCTTCTTTGACCAGAAGACACTCATCACTGCTTCAAATCCCCTTTTGAATAGAAAAAACAAATATATATAATCATGGCATTCGTTAACACAAAAGCTCTGCTTTGTCTGGCTGAAATTGCCTTTGTCTCCAAGCAAGAGCTTGAAACAATGGAAAGCAGGAGAGGTTTTGCCCAGAGCAGAGACCACAGACAAAGCTGCAGTGTGGGAACATCTCCATGGCATGGGATGGATTCAAACAGCTCCTTCTGTGGGATGCTGGGGCTCCTGGGGGAGCAGCACCAAGCTGTCCCCAAATGCCACCTCGGGGACACTCAGCCCCGTGCTGGAACCGACCTCAGCCTGGCAGCCAAACAGAAAATGCCACAAAAGCATCAGAGCTGATGAGCAGGAATCCTTTGAAGGTCTCCACACAAGCACGATGTCAAATTGCTCAGGTGGAACTGAGCTCCTGAACTTCACAGACGAAAGATCTGTGGTCTGCTCTGTGCTCAAGTGACAAATAACCCGAGTGTCACAGCAGCATCCATCCTGAAAGGACACGCTGGTTTTCCTTGCAGGAAGGGATGGAGCTGGCACAGGTGGCTCCCAGTGACATCCAACACCTGCAGACCTGAGTAAACACGAGAAAAGCCACACTCAAACAGCACCAGGGTGGAGGCAGTGAGAAACAATCACCAGAACAGCGCTCAGGTCACTGATAAATATAATTTCTGCTTTAAAAGTAACAGCTTGTCAGTCACCACATAAAGCTAAATTTCATTTGCTGCTGATTTGGAAATGCTCAGGTCCAGCATCCTGAATTAACTCAGCTTCCTCAAATCTGGCTCTAAACACCACACCAGGTTTGCTGCATGATGTACAAACAGCAAATAAACAAGAACACAAGATACAATTAATAAATAAACACTAACACAGTATCCAAATTGTAAATATACATTAGTACATAAAATCCCCTTTTTGCAGAGCCCAGCTCTTGCACCACTGAAGCAAATGAAGCAAAGAGCTGCCAACTCCCCTGAGCAGAGCCCAGTGCAGCATCACTGAGGGGGTGAGAGGCTTCCCTGAGTGTCACTGAAAGCTCTGACACCATTTCAAGGCTGGTTTCATGCTCGAGGAGTTCCAAGTGAGGCTACCAGAGATGTCTGGAAATCAGGCAGCGCTCCTGCTTTGTTTTTTGAAGGGTGCAGCAGCCTGGGCTCATCTGGGCCAAATTCCATGCACAAAATCCTGGCTTTGGTGTCCCTGGAGGTCATTTGAGCTCCCCCAGGAGATTCTTGTTTCCCTGGGCTAAAATCACTGCACCAGATCCTGGGTTGGTGTCCCTGGAGCCACCCAAGCTCCTCCAGCAGATTTTTTGTGTTCCTGAGCCAAACTCACTGCATCAAATCCTGAGTTTGGTGTCTCTGAAAGTCATTTGAGCTCCCCCAGGAGATTTTTTGTTTCCCTGGGCTAAAATCACTGCACCATCCCTGGAGTCACCCAAGTTCCTCCAACAGATTTTTTTTGTGTTCCTGGGCCAAACTCTGTGCACCAAATCCTTGGTTTGGTGTCCCTGGGAGCCTCTCAAGCTCCTCCATGAGATTCTTGAGTCCCTGGGCCAAACTCTGTGCACCAATTCCCGTGTTTTGGTGTCCCTGGGAGCCACTTGAGCTCCCCCAGCAGATTTTTTGTGTCTCCAGGCAAAATTCTGTGCACCAAATTCTGGGTTTGGCGTCCTTGGGAGCTACCCAATCTCTCCCAGCAGAATTTTTGTGCTCCTGAGCCAAACTCACTGCATCAAATCCTGTGTTTTGATGTCTTTGAATTCACTTGAGCTTCCCCAGGAGATTTTTGTGTTCCTCAAGATCTCCCAGCAGATTTTTTTGTATCCCTAGGCCAAACTCACTACATCAAATCCCGTGTTTTGGTGTCCCTGGAGTCACTCAAGCTCCCCCAGCAGATTTTTTGTGTCCCCAGGCCAAACTCACTGCACCAAATCCTGCATTTTGGTGTCCCTGGGAGCCACCCAACCTCTCCCAGCAGATTTTTTGTGTCCCAGTTTGAGCTGCTGGCTCTCCATGAGCAGCTCCTGTGCACATTCATGTCTTAGGAGGGGCAGGGAGGTTTAGCAGCCTGATGCTGCTGCTCTGAAACGAGTGCTAGTGCCAGCCAGTGCCTGGGGAGAATGAAACAATTTCCTTAATATTGCTCAACAAGGCAGGATCCAGCAGGATTCCCAGACACCGGCCTGCAGCCTCACTCCAGCAGAGTCACTCTGGAATTACCCCACCACAGCACAGCTCCAAATCCGGCTCTGCACCTCTCCCTGCACAGCTCTGAGAAACGCTGCTTTGTTCAGGAAAAGGGGAAAGGGAAAATAAAAAGGAGAAAGAAAAAAAAAAAAAAAAAGCCCTGATGTTGGAGAACGTGGTTTTTTTTTTTTTTTTTTTTTTTTTTCCCTCTTGTCCCTGGAATTGTGATTGGAAATAATTGGAAGTGTCACTGGAAGTAATCAGAAGTGACAGTCCCTGGGCTACAAGGCTTTTGCTTCAAGTCTAACGATCCCCCCGCAAAACAAAACCTAAATTTAAACAATGAAGTCATAAAGTGATTTGCCTTCAAGGTTGAAAACCCTGCAATTTCTTTTTTTTAATATATATATAAAAAAAGAAGTGCCTGGCTCTGTTTCAGTTCAATATTCCAGGCTTGCTGTGTTAGATGAAAGCACAAATCACACACAAAGACACCCCGTGATTTCTGGCCATACCTGGCCAATAAAGGTCCTTGTCTATATTAAACATTCCTGTGACCTTTGAATTTCTATCAAGTTTTTAAGGAAAAAAACCAGCCTGAGTCATCTGAGCTGTGACACTCATCCAGCACCCATCTCAAATATTCCAAATACTGGAAAACCACCTAATTCCAATATTTTGCTGAAGCACAAAGGGAATGGAATGGAGCATTTTTTAAAATTTTTTTTTTTTACATTTCTGCAAAGGCATCCTAACAACCCATCCAGGCACTTAAGGGAAAGAATCTGTTCAAAAGACCTCACAGCCACAATACATTCCATGTATTTACTAGACAGAAAAACTAATTTTCTTTCTTTTCATCTGCAGCACAAGGTAATTCAGAGACCCAGGATTTCCTTTCCTGAGGTTTCTCTGAGAGCACAGCAGCACTTCACACCACGAGTGCAGTTTCTCAGCACAGTGGTACCAAAAAGCCATTAATAGGTGATAAAATATCCTACTGGAAAATCAAAATAAGTCTCTCCAGGTGGCAGGTGAAGGATTTCAGCCTGGATTCAGCCGTTTGTTAATGATCTGCACATCACTGCCGTGCCCACCTTTGGGGATGTATCAGGATGAAAATGGCTTTAAGTCAGAGCTGCTGAGCTTTAGTGTTCCAGCACCCACCCGTGTCTGAGTTTCCTCCTCTTTAAATGTCCTCTGTGCAATTTGGCCCTGCTGGAGTGAATAAAAACTTTCTCTCAGAGTGACCCTTGCCAGCAGCAGCAGAGCTGGGGCAGCCCCAGCCCAGCCGTGGTCATCCCTTGCCTCTAACCCTGCACGCTCCATTTCAGAGCAGCCTCCTCCTGCCAGCCAATGGCACAAACACACCCCAATCCTCACTGACCTTTTCCCTCCAAAGGCAATTCCACTGCAGGCACCAAGCTCAACTCCAACCTTTCTACCCAGGGTTCAGCCTCATTTTTCTGCCACAAAAAAAAAAAAAAAAAAAAAAAAAAAAAAAAAAAAAAAGTAAAAGTCGTGGCTGCTCCCCAGGAGGAGAGAGAAGCTCAGAGTGTGCAGTGATGTGGATTGATCCTTGTGGGACAGCAAATCTGACACTGTGGGGCTGGGGCT